GGGGAAATCATAACTCTAGACCTCCTTAATCGTTTCTCCAACCTGTAGTATCTTTAGTGTTAATTTATTATTTTAATTTGTTAGTTAGTTAGTTAAACACAAGAATCTTAATATCTATAAGTTAGGAATCGTTCAAGCTTGTGTTCTTGGTGATAGTGAACAACTGTAGCTAAGCCTTAATTCTCTGTGGGATTCGACTCCGGACTTTTAGACCGGATTATATTTGCAGCAGCCGCTTATCCTTTTTAGGACTAGAGTTGGGCGTGATCAAATTTTGGCGTCGTTGCCGGGGAACTAATGGTGTAGTTGTAGCTGTATATATTGCTAGGGTTCACGTTTGAACTTTTATTTTGTTTTGTTTTTTTGGTATTTTTTTTATAACTGTTGATTTGAGAAACATGACATCTTGGAATTATGGGAATTTAGGTATAGATAATTCTACTATTGATCTCCATACATATTGTGAAGGAAACCACCCGTGGCAAAATTTTCAAAACATTCCTGAGAGCGAGTTATGTGCACCAACTCAATCTTATTTGTGGAATGTGTGTGATGTGTGTGGTGGTAAAAATGGTCACTTTCTGGTTGTGCTTATATTTCTTATCTTCCCCCAACCCCTTATTATGATGGTTCTACCTTTTCTTGTGAAGTTAACAGGAACAAAGAACCCGGGGATGCAGACCTGAAGGAGATCAATGATATGTTAAAGTGCCTTCTAAAACAAAATAATGAAAAACAATTGCAGATAGAAAGGCAAGAGGCAACTATTCGCAAGTTGGAGGCTCAATTGAGTCAAGTGGTTGGAGCTTTTAATGCTCAACAAGCCAATATTGATGATAATAGCCAAGAAGAGCATGAATTTGAAGTGTTAATTGGGGAGGTCAGAGTAGAACATCAACAACCTAGCCAACTACAATTTGAGGATGTCAATGTTGAAGAAGTGAGACTAGAGTCAGCCAAGGACATTGAGGATACAAATTTTGTTGACTCTAGTATCATTGATGTTGAGGATGCTGAAAGTCCTGAAGTTCGTGTGTGTGAGCGCATTGGTCCTCACTCCAAATATTTTTCTACATTGTGCTTGGATGACGATATGGAAATAGAGTCATCCGAGCCGATTGAGGAGTCAAGGAATGAGGAACAGGGTGCCTATAGTCTGGAATTTTTCTTACCAGAAAGACAGGACTACATGCCTCATCTAAAAGCCAAGAAGTGTAAAATAGTACAATGGTTGCTTGGGCCAATTATATTTGTTCCACCACCCCTGGAGCATAACCGAATACTTGAATCCAAATTGGAGGTTCAATTCATAAGCTCGAGGTGGAGGCAAAAAAATGATTCACGTCGTGTCGCGACGTTAAATCAAGCATTTGTTGGGAGGCAACCCAGCTTTACTGCTTTCTTTTATTTATTTATTTGTTTTATTGTATTATTCTTGTAGTGTCGATTTTTTATTTTCTAGGAGCATGGAAAGCAAAGCTATTGGAAGGATACAACAACAAACCAAATGGTTGGAACTAAGTGTGAGGTACCCGCACGAAGGACCAAGCTTGGGAGAAGTCTGAGTACCCCATGAGTTGTTAGTGCTTCGGCCTTTGGCCTACCAGGGAGTCTCTTTTACCCTTTTATTAGTTATGTGTGCATTGGGGACAATGCACAATTTTAAGTGTGGGGTGAGGAGATTGTATGGGTGACTTTCTATGCTATTTTAGTTGTGTTAGTTTAATTGAATATTTTTTTTTATTTTTTTTAGAAAAATGAAAAAGAAAAAGTTTGGACTTTTCCCGACGATGGATTTATTAGACAATTTTCTTGAGGGATTTAAGTCTAAAAAAATAAAATATAAAGATTTTCTTTGTAGGTAGTGTAATAATTCCTCCTTGGTTTTTCTTTGTGCCGCGGTTCTTTTCCAAGTGTTTTATTTGAGCCGGGTGTAGTTAGTTTTCTTTTAGGAATAGGAGCCATTGTGTTGTGTTTTGAAATGAAGCAATATCTCTTGACTTTGTTATGCCTTGAGAATAGTGAGTACTTTGGTTGTGACGCTTAGGCTCAGTTTTTGACTCTTGTATAAGTACCTTAAATTTTATGATCTTAAATTTGCTTAACTGCTTTGACTAGAGTGTCTTGATGAAACCAATCATGAGTGAGTTATGTGCCATGTGTGTGTAAGGATTTGTTATATTCTGTGCATTGCATTTGATGCCTAGAACTTGCCTTGTGTGTTTGCAAAGCGAAATAGTAGTTTTGTTCAGTCTTGGAAGTGATATAGGCGTTTCTTTGTTGAGCCAGATATGTATATTTTACTCACCTAATTGTTATGTATCGTAGTTAACCCCTTTGAGCCTGTAATCTTGTTTCTTTGGCAACCACATTACAAGCCTTACTCATTTGTTTGAATTAATCATCTATTTGAACTTTTTAACCTCTCATGAGCACTTGAATTATTATGAACTGTGTAAAAGTTAAAGTGTGGGGTGGTTGGTTTGGCTTTTGAGTGGAACTAATGAAATAAGGAGAAAGGTGCACTGTTTTGAAAAAAGTAAGAGCCACTTGAACTGGAAAAAAAAAAAGAAAAAAAATAGTTGGATTGTTGTGGGAAAAAAAATCCTTGATAAGTGGTGGCTGTTGATGTAAGTGTGCTTAAAGAAGAATGGGGTAATATACATTGATGTGAAAGTGGATTTTTGGTTTGACATAAGTATTGGGTTTGAATGTTAAAGTATATGCATTAAAATTCTTAGGGAGGTGTAGTCGCTCTTATATCTAAATGTATCATACCCGTCCCTAGCCTACATTACAACCAAATAAAGTCCTAATTGATCCTAGATTGAATGAGCTCGATTAGTGGAGTAGTACACTACGGGCAAGCTTATGGTGCATCTATTGTGGCATATGAATGTTATTTCTGAGAATGAGAGAATTCTTTCTATCTTGAGTTCCTAAGTGTTCTTAAATTTTATTGTGTGGAACTACTCTCTTCTGTTGTGTGAGGGCACTTGATTCATGAAGGAAAGGTAATGTCAGTGACCTTTATGTTAGAGTAAGTAGGTGAGTTGTGAATAATGCGTGGTACTTGTGAGTCAAATCTTGAGGTGAAGATGTTACGCTTTTGTGCTTAGTCAATTTTAAATACTCTTGGTGTGATGAGTTAGGAGAATTGTTTAAAAAGGTCGTGCCTATAACAAAGTGTAGTTTGATTGCTCGAGGACGAGCAATGGTTTAAGTGTGGGGTGTTGATGATAGGCTATAATTGCGTATTTTAGTCGATTATTACAATTTGATTTACTGCACTTTAGTTGAGTTTGCGCTTTAATCGCTAGTGTTTTGCACTAACGGTGTGTTTTATGCCTTGTAGGAGTGATTCCGAGCTATATAGATGTTATGGAATGAATTTAGTGATTTGGAGCTTTTAAGTCTGAGTAAAAGCCCAAGGAATTAAGCCGGGATCGTATTCAGGGATCAACGGATGATAGAGCAACAAAACGAAGAATCGAGTAGGCATATTGCGCACTGTCTAGTAAAATGCACATAACTTTTTGCTCAGAACTTCATTTGGGCTCTACAATATATGGTTGGAAATCTAACTCAAAAGTCTACAACTTTCTTATTTTACGTTTTTCCAAATTTCAAAAGGAACAGGGTGAAAAACGTGGTCGAAACCGCAACCGCAGACCTGAGGCGGGCTGAGGCAGTATACCTGCCATATACCGCGGTCGTACCGCAGTTTTACCTCGGCCGCGGCGTCCAGACGTGAAAAAATTGTCCTTTTTCGCGTAGGAGAAGGTATAATAGTTTGGGCCCGACCCTACTTGGTATATATACATGGAAAAACGGTATTTTTGAAGGTTTGACATATTTTTGACACAGATTCGACCTAAGGAGGCAGAGACACAATAGGAGCAAGGCGGGGAATTCTTCTACGAGTTTTTCCTTCCTCTTCCTATTTTTCATTGTTGGTTATGACTTTTAGTATTGTAGTTTTACATACTATTATGAATAGCTAATTTGTTATCTAGGGTTTTGATGGAACCTTTTGTAGGATAAATTCTTGTTATGTTTTTATATAATTGAGCCGTAGTATTTTCTCTATTTGTTCAACTATATTATTCTTGTGGTTGATTGAAAGGCCCTCAATTAGCTGTGCCTATTTAGTATGTATTACTCGGGAGAGAGTTCATATTTAGGTAGTTGTTGAACAACATCACTCCCAACGTATGTGAGGAATCAATAACCAAGAGTTTAAAGGTGGGATTAGAGATAACGAAACCTTGGGTGCGATCTAAGTGAGTTGTAATTAAAGCCAGCTAGCGTAACTCGGGAGAGTATGTCTAGTAAATTGTCGTAATTACTCGAGAGAGAATTACAACACGCAGAGCGCTCATGATCGGTAGAGAATACTTAGGCGTAATTATAGAAGACATAGCGGGAAGGATTCCGACAATTGGGGAAATCATAACTCTAGACCTCCTTAATCTTTTCTCCAACCTGTAGTATCTTTAGTGTTAATTTATTATTTTAATTTGTTAGTTAGTTAGTTAAACACAAGAATCTTAATATCTATAAGTTAGGAATTGTTCAAGCTTGTGTTCTTGGTGATAATGAACAACTGTAGCTAAGTCTTAGTTCTTTGTGGGATTTGACTCCGGACTTTTAGACCGGATTATATTTGCAGGTATCCTTTTTAGGACTAGAGTTGAGCGTGATCAAGCATCATGGTTCCATGACTGCAATTCGACAAGTTACCATTATTCCCATAGTCCATGACTCCATGTTAGGATCAACAAGGTGGGAGTTGGGACTCATTTCTTTCTTAGGCCAAACCATGAAAACATTTTATGGATAGGTGGCGATGAGACTCACTTTTCAATAGTCTGAACTGTCTCATCTAAAAGGTTAAGATGTTAGCGAGTTGACACTTTCTGTTATTCTTTTGTGCTTACAACAAACATGGTCCGAACGTTGGCTGTTGCTAAACAAATCCGATTTACATGCATATCAGAAGTTCCAAAACTTTCTCATGAGAATCATCAGAAGCACCCCTTTTCCCCTCATCTTACAAACTTACAAATAATATAAATATAGTAGAGCAAGAAAAAACAATAATTATGACTGCATATCATTGACCATTTCATGAATAAGATCACCAATAATGTGGTGTTCAATATCTTTTCCGACAGCATTAACATCTTCATCAACTAATCCAGTCCAAGGCATAGATTGCAAGTCTCGGGCTAGTATAGTTTCGAGGGATTGAGATGACATATCTGAAGGAGGGTAAACATAAACTCGGGCAATTTCCCATACACATTCTAATAACTTCTTTCCTCGTAGAGGTAGAGGTCGTGCAGTCGGACTAATAGTACTTTTCATAAAACTCGAAACTGTAGAAGGTACTCCAAGTACATCCGGAAGCACCTCGTTCAAGAAATCACACAACAACTTGTGATTTAACTTCTGGAATTGATCACTAGTAGATGCTTCTTCAATATCATTTGTCATTTTCTTGTAAGACTCTTCGACTTCTTCAAAAACTTGGTTGCTGATTGGCTTTCCGAGTGGATCCCATTTTGATAGATATTTATCGCATGAACCATCATATAAACCAGAAGCAACAAGAAGATCTCTAACGAACGATTCAGCTGGATCGTCAATCTCCATTATCTCCTCTTCGACAGACTGCTCATCAATCATTGTCTCCTCAGAGTCATAAGTTTCTAGCTGATTCAATTGCCTCCTTAGCTCTGTGTTATGAAAAGTTACAAAATATCATTAAATTCGTTTAAACTTCAGTGCAGTTCTACATTTGTGATATAGTATTTGAATTGGTAGCCCATTCTTGTGCAATCAAGAAAGGCACTAAGTTAAAAGGACAACAAAGGCATGAAATTGTTGGAAAATCATCAAGTGTAGATTTTAATTCAAGGCAACTGTGTTGAGTCCCACATTGGCTCAAGATGGGTAACTTGGACTCTTTGTATGGTCTTGGACAATCCTCACCTCATGAGCTAGGCCCAAGGTCCATTTGTCACGGTATTAGAGTCGGGCCCATCTCGTTATTTACCCGATGTTGGGCACCTATCTTATATTGTCCATGCTCCAGATGTCCAATCTTGGGCGTGCGGAGGAGTGTTGAGTCCCCCATCGGTTCAAGATGGGTAACTTGGACTACTTATATGGTCTTGGACAATCCTCACCTCATCAGTGTTGGACAAATATAGCGAGAACATAGTTGAAGTTCCTCATTATAACAAAGTTAGAACTGTAAAATCCAACTCGTGTCAAGTGGTAATCATGCCTAAAATGTATCATAAACCAAGAATGCAGCATATGTACAAATTTAGATAAGTTTTTACTTATACCATTCAGATTAGAGCTGATCTCTTTGAAAACATGAGGCATTTCACTATCATCCGGCGGATGTATATCTGAGGTTGATGATGAGCTGAAACAATCTGTTTGCCTCCAAAATTCTTCATTGGTAGTGCTGCATACAGATGCAGGACTAGGTGGAAACTCAGTGGAATTTTCCTAGGACAAATATAAAATACTAAAAGTTAGATATCAATATCATGTCAGCATATTTATGATCAAAAATTTCGACATTCTTTTTCTCTTTTCATCTTGGGAGTTAGTAGAAAAGGAAAATATACTTGAGGCTTCTTACATTATATTTGGATGCAACAGTTTGTGTGTTTAGAAGATCTTTCATGTGAATTTGTTTGTTTCCATTTGATTCCTCCAAAGATTGAATCTTTCTACCAAAGAGCTTTCCTTTAAGTACAAAACTATATTTAAAGCTGGAAACCTTTTCTCTAAGGTTGAATTTCTCTTTTCTGCATTTTTTTATGTTTATTTTGACCTTCTCAGAAGCTTCATGTTTTCGCCTAATATGCGCCCCCGTTAACATATGTTGATCCTCTAGGAGAAGCTTTCCGAATGATGCTCGCGACACAGGAGCAGACAAAGATCTAACTAGGTTCCTATGAAATTGTTCCTGGTCAAGCATTACATTATTACTCAACTCTTGTCTGAAATATTTGCCCTGCATGTCCGATTCGTCTTTCATATCGTCTTTGTGTCTCACTTTATTAGCAATATATCTGCTTTCTTCAGCTCTGCTCTTTTCTGAAAATCTCCTTGTATCTCTATTGGTGAAATCAGGAGAACCAGTCACGTCGCATTGAATTTCACTTCTATAAGACCTCATTGATTTTGATCGAGGTAGGGTCGTTCCAACATCCCTAGTAACACTCTCTCTCACCTGTTTTGCAATAGACTGAGCTATCTTCTTTGCTTCTGATGGTTTTTTGGTATAAGACGTCTCAATGACAGTAGTACTCCTTCTCAAACTCTTTTCTTGCAATTCACATTTTAGTCTTTCCTTAACCTCCTGAAGAAATTCTTCTATGCTACTCCCGTCTTCGGATATGCCAGGGGAACTGGCCCATGATTCTTTGCTATCCCCCGTCCTATCACAAACAGGCCTCAAAATTACAATCTTTGTAGGAGTTGAAGAAATATCAAGTCTCTTTGAGTTCGCGTGAAGAACCAACTTTTCCTTGTTCAGGCGTTGTCGTGCCAACCATTGATCAGTATTGGTGCCAAATTCAACAAATTTTGAGCATTCCTTTAACCTTGTAGCTTGCCATGCTTCAAATTCCTTCTTAAACTTTTGTAGTTCCTCTTCCTGTGGATGTTCTCGGGGTTTAAGTTTGTTGAGCTTTAGGTTACCACTCCGTCTGTCAAAGTTACATGCTTCATTGTGGTCAAAGGAATCGAAAACTTTTTGTCTCGAGTAATGTGTTACATGATCAAAAGGATCCTTTCTCAACCATTCCTCTTTGGGAGGATTTCTATCTTTCATTTCATTCTTCTTTTCGACCTTCTTGGTTGATGGTTTTGTATCCACGGATAACATATCTAAGCCCATCAGACGGGCGACAACACTAGGTGCATTCTGTCCTGAGTTTGGAGTACTTCTTGATAATTCTTCACTGATCAGTTTCTTCATTGGAGTCGCATTGACATAACACTTCTTCGCTGACCAGTCATTTGTCATGTGGTAAGTGCACTGTATTTTGCCACACCAGAAGGAAGGAAACAAAATGTCATGTAAAAGTTGACAGACATGTAGAATGTGAATCGTTTAGCTCAAAATGACAATGTTATACTGCATGAATTCTCATTTCTGGAAAATTGTGAGTCTACAACACCAATGCATCCGAAGAGAACCTTTTTACAAAGTTGATAAAATGATGATCCAAAGAGAAGAACCAAGAGAAAAAGAAGTCCGAAAAGTTAATTCTCATGAGTACGAAAAAAATTCTATTAGCAAACATCGAATACTTTGTGATCCTGAACTAGCAAGATGCATATATAGTAAAACATGATAGTTACGAGGATTGAGAGCGGAGGAATCTTAGCTTCAATTGGGGTAAGTCAAAGGCCTATCACTGTTTTATCATATGATCGCTAATAGAAAAAAGGGCGGTCAGGTGTACAAAGTATCCTGCATTCACGCAGGATCTGATATTTCGTTCTCATATTTCTTTCAGGGCTCCAAGTGGTAAGATATAACCCCGCCTCGACAAAGAGAAGATAAAGCAACCGGAATTTTGATAACTCCAGAATAGCATAACAAAATTATTACCAGCGCATCGCCATCCCCTTCAATACAGAAGCTATGTGAAGCCTCTACCGGCTGCTGCAATCTATTTCGAGGAGCCTCTCGGCCTGTAGAATTGATGAATGTACCACAATATTTCTTGTCAGTAAGTAAACAAGAAAATGAAATTGAAAGAAGCATACTACTATAGCCTTATCTGTCTTGTTTTATCTTCATCAGGATTTTATGTGACCTATGGAATTGCAACAACGACGCCCAATTAGCACCCTACTTCAAGAATTAAATGATCATTCTATTGCCTAAGCCAAGAAAAGACTATGAACTCAACTAAATTAAGTAGTTCAGAAATCTCTCTGATCCTTTAATAGTGCAATCATTCTTCAATATTGTTGGTCAAAAATCATCAAATAGAAAAAAGGAAGTACGGTGATATTACTACAACAACAACAATAAACTCAGTGTAATCCCACAAGGGGAGGATAGTGTATATGCAGCCTTAATTACCCCTACCTTGAGAAGGTAGAAAGGCTGTTTCCGATAGATCCTCGGCTCAAGGAATGAAAGATGATATTGACAAGTGATAACACTCAGGTTTTGATCACCAATACACTCAGATTAGTTAACTGTTCCTATCAATTCAACATGAATGAATGACCACTTCAATATGGAACTACGAAAATCAATATAGAAAATCATTAAACAATATAGCCTTATAGAAAGATAACATCTTTGAAATTTTTTACTATTACAACATTAGCCTACACTAGAGAAATGAAAACACCTTACCCTCATTTATCTTCCTCGTCGTCCCTCCTTCATCAAGATCAATGAGATCCGACAATCTTACCATGTATGCAGCTGCCCCTCCACAAAACACACACACACAAATGTACAAAAATATTGTCTAGGGAAAAAGGAGATTTGAAGAGAGAAAAGGCATAGTTTTTCATGAAATGAAGAAACTATTGTGGTCTATAATGCAACTACTAGCCTCATAAATCTAAGGCAGCAAACAAATTTACTGAAAAGATGCTTATATGCAGTGATCAATAAATTTTTTCTTTCTCCTTTTCCTAATGGAGAAACTTCTAATAGGGAGTGTTTCTCCTATTAATGAGCTCTACGCCGCGCGAATTCAAATTAGTCATTCCGGATATGGAATGGTTAAACAAAAAAAAAGAGATTCTAATGCTAAATTGCAGAAATGTGAAGAAGTAAAAGGGAAACGAGGGAAACAGAAAGTATAAGAATATGTACTGATAGAAAGGAGAATTGTGAAAAAATTTAATACAACTCCATCAAATTTTAATGACATTATTTAAAAAAAAGAATTTAAGATAACAGTTTAGCTTAACGGTCTATTAAGTTGGAATGGACAGGGGAGATGAAAGGTTCAAGTTTTGGTAGAGTAAAATCATCATGAGTGATTTCTTTTTATTTGTCTAAGATTTTGGTGGCTAGATGTACACAAATAATATGAAATATTACTAGTGACAAAATAGAATCAAATGTTCAAATATAAGGAGTTTTTAATGAAGAGAGTGTCATAGCATATTCGAGCAAATTCCACGTATGGTCATATAACTATGATTTTTTTTTACCAAAGTCATATAACTATGTTCTCTCACACAAAAATCATAAAACTTTCAATAACTTACACAAAAATCATAGTGACTGGAAAACAGAACTTTCTGGTAGTATTTTCTTATTTCACATTTTTTATCTTTTATTTTCAATCTAAAACGTATGCATGAGATTCTGACCCCT